AATACAATCCTAATCAAAATACCAATAGCATTCCTCACAGAACAAGAGGAAACAGTCCTAAAATTCACTTGGAACCAGAAGAGAGCTAGAAAAGCAAAAGCAATCCTGGACAACAAAAGCAAGGCAGGAGGCATCACAATCCTGGACCCCAAACTTCAAATCATACTACAGTGATGAAAGCCACATGATATTGACATAGGCCACCAAGTAATCCCAATAAGCAAAAATAATCCAAACAAGGGAAATACTGTAAATCCCAACAGGCTAGATATTTGAAAGAGGAGTTCGCATTCTCTAAAATTGAACAACTAATTCTAAGAACAATGGAAGTTAAGAGTAAGGAATGTTTATTGAGGGAGAGACAGCTTCTCCCTGAGAGGGACAGAAGGGGACCCCATTTCCCAGGGGGGTTTTATGGAGCAAAGCCACAAGATGAGGCAGGTACAAAAGTGGGACAAAACTAGTCAACTAAGAAAACTAGTCAACTAATCCAATGGAAACTCACAAGGTGAGCATAAGTTGGAACAAAACTATAGTCAGCCAATAAGATTACAAGTACATCCATCCAGGTAATCTATTTTTATTCATTAGGTTCATTGGTACATTTTAGGTGTACAATATGACATTCATCACTGGGAATTCATACCTTTACATGACATATCTTGGTTCTTATTTTTCTCTCCATTCCTCTGCTCTCCCTTCAACCCCTCCACCACTCCCTATTTACAAAGACTTTGTTTCTGTTTTTTCCTTTTCTCATATTTATTCCTTTCCCTTTTTTTCCCTTCACCTATCCCACCCATTTCTCCTTCCCATTTGGACCTTTTCTTCCTATTTCAAATTATCCATTATACATTTTGATCCTTATTTACACTATCAGTTTCTCACACCAGATAAACTATTTGGTATTTACACATGTGTGTACAGGTAATATTGATTAAATGGGAATCAAATGGGAAAACATGTCATGTATCAAGAATACATAGAATGAACAAGGAATTTCCAGAAATGAATTGGGCTAGGGAGTTTTTTTTTGGTCCCCACTTAAAGTGATTGATGACTATTTGGAATGTCACTGCTATTCATCTCTAGGGAAAGTAGATAAGTGTAGTACTTTTTCTTCTCAGAATGTTGACCTTCAGTGAATGTGTCTCCATTATCTTCATATTGATTCCTCAGAGCCAGCCCTGTCTAACTGCCTATAAGATATCTAATTAACTTAGTGCTCTATAATAGTATTGGCAAAAAAACAGACATGTGGATCAATGGAATAGAATAGAGTATGCAGAAATAACTCCAGGCACATTCTGCTACCTGATCTTTGACAAGGGGGCCAAAAACTTATACTGAAGGAAAGATAGCCTCTTTAACAAATGGTGCAGGAAAAACTGGTTTCCACATGGAGAAGACTGAATCTAGACCTATATCTCTTACCATGTGCTAAACTAAAATCAAAATAGATCAAAGATCTAAATATTAAAAAAGAAACAACCTGCTGAAAGATAAAATAGGTAAAACTCTTGACAAATGGACAGGCAAAGAGTTTTTGAGTAAAAGTTCATTTGCACAAGAAATAATACCAAGAATCAATAGGGATCATGTCAAACTAAAAAGCTTCTGCAGAGCAAAGGAAAACACTAACAAAGTGAAGGGAAAACCTACAGAATGGAAAAAAAATCTTTGCCATCTATTTCTCAGACAGAGGACTAATATCTAGAATATATAAAGAACTCAAAAAAAATCAGACCCCCAAAACAAAAGAACCAATCAAAAGTGAAATGAATAGGCATTTCACAGAACAAAAAGTACAAGTACCCAACAAATAAATGAAAAATGTTCAACATCACTGGCTGTCTGAGAAATGTAAATTAAAACAATGCTGAGACTCCATCTTACTCCAGCAAGAATGGCTATAATCAAGAAATTGGATAACAACAAATGATGGTGAGCCTGCAAGGAAAAATGAACCCTTCTACACTATTGGTGGGAATGTAAACTATGTACACAACCACTATGAAAATCAGTATAGAGATTCCTGAAAAAACTATAGCCAGAAATTCCATTCAACCTAGCTCTAGCTATTCCTGTTCTGAGTATCTTCCCCAAAGAGCTAAAGATATCATATTACAGTGATACATGCATATCAATGTTCATAGCAGCACAGTTCACAATAGCTAAACCTTGGAAGGGGCCTATACGCCCATGAACTGATGAATAGATAAAGAAAATGTGGCATTTACACACAATGGAGTGCTACTCTGCCACAAAGGATAAACTTGATTCATTTGTAGGAAGATGGATGCACCTTGAGACCATGTGAAGTGAAACAAACCAGATACATAACCTTAAATATCACATGCTTTCTCTTATATGAGAAATCTAAATTATAAATAAAGAGCAAAACAAAAGATAGATAATAGAAAAACGGAAAGTTTCCTAGAGGAGTCCTTGGTTTATTAAAACATTGCAATTTTATTTCTGGATTTTATGTTTGTAGTGTTTGGCAGCTTTTTAAAAGTATATGAGTTTTAGACTTCACTAGTCAGGGTTCTTTCTCCATTCATGATAATATCACTTTGTATTTTTGTCAAATAAATAAACCTTTGGATGTGAAAAAATTCAATATAGTCATCACACAAACAACGAGTCATCCTATGATCATTTCAATATATACAGAAAAAACATGACAAAATTGAATTGCCTTTCAAAATAAAAACTCACACTAAATAAGAAAATATATTTCTAGATTTATAATAAAAAGGAATGCTACTTTTTACTACACATTTGCATTGCAGTTATAATAAACAAATTTAGCCCCATCCCTCCAAATGTATCATCATCATACGTCATCAGTTTAAAAACACTAGGATAAAACAGAACATTCTATGACCTTCAAAAGGAAAGAAAGAGGTTACAAAAAAGGATAAAGAATCTTTATGGCTTAGATATAAATCAACATAATCAATAACATTTGAAGCTTACAAACTAGAATACTATAAAATCAAACCATCAGTCAACCTTGAGGGTAGAGTCATTTTGGATATAGATAGTCTTAAAAAAAATCTACTTCCATTTCTCAAAAAATGACTAGGAGGAAACAGATTGTGTTCCACCAAAATAATGGCATGAACTAAGAAAGAGAAAAGCATGGGATATGAGTCACCCAGATTTCTAGGTAAATAAAAGGTAAAGGAGGCACAGAGCAGAAAAATAATCCCTGAGAAACGGTAGCCACAAGTTGACCAAAGTTCTACATCAACTCACAGCCCAGATTCATGTTACTCATATGGTCCCAAAACTTTCAGCTGAGTATTTACCTTAAAATTTACTGGTCCCACCTAAGGCAAATCCTCTTGGAAAGAAAGTACCTTCTTCCTAGGCTTCAATTAATCCTCACAATTAAATTTTCAGGACAATGAATGGCTCAAAGAGAAAGATCACCAAGTATACAGGAAGTGGCAGCATGAGCAGGAACCAGTAGAAACAGACAACATAAACAGATATAGAGAGATTTTATATGTTGGTATTAACATGGAATAGAAAACAAATATACTATATTTACTATTTTTAAAACAATTTAAAAAAATCTGCAGGTAAGGAAAAGGAGATTTCAAAGTGACCATGTAGCCTGTGTTGTGGTACGTGACTATCATCTGAGGCAGGAGGATTGAAAGTTAAGGACCATCCTAGACAACTTAGTGACTTTGTGGGGAAAAAAGGAGGGGTAGGGGAAGCATCTCAATGTGAAGGCCCTGAGTTCAATATCCAACACCAAACAAACAAACAAACAGTAAAGGTGTTGGGAGACCCCCAAACCTACCAGGTGCAGGGATTTGCAAGCAAGGGCATTTATAGGATTTGGGATTTTGTCATAATTGCAGCTGAGATGCATTACACGGAAAGCTATAAGTCAAAATTTGCAAAGGAAAAAGAGGCTAAGAAGAAAGGCTGGGAGAAATGTGTTGAGTTATAACAAGATATTCCCCCTATGCAATTATGTGATAATATTAACATTAAAAAGCCCCTGCCACCCATCCTAATTAACACCAAAGATAACTCCAAAAGGGAAGGACTACTGTAGTGCTAAAGGGAGCCTTGGACTCCACATCCTCTCCATCATTCATGAGCTCCTCTGAAACACGCAATCTATGTAAACCCGCGGTTTGTTCTTCACACACAGATTCAAAGTGGATCTCCAATGCCCATGTTCAGCAACACTGCCAACTGTGAAAACCTGTGGACTGTCTGCAGCCTCCATTTAGGAACAATTGCTATTTTGTTAGCTTACTGAAGCAAAATTTAGTTTAATAACTAACATACAATAAAATCCCTCTGTTTAGATTAAAATTATAATAGCAAAAATCAAAGGCAAAGACAATCTAGCAACATCTGAAGTGGAAAAGGCTGAGGGGCTGGCTCCAACTGAATGAAAGCACATTCCCCTTTCTGCACAGAGATTCTAAGCTGACATACTATGCTTCATTTCAATTATTGTACTTGGGCTTAGGATATAGCTTTTTAAAACAGGCACTAACAACTAGTGTTATCAAGGTCTGGATATTGTTTTGTGAGGAAAATTCAAAGAAGAATGCTTTTTCTAAACCCAAACAACACAAGAGACAGTCTTTGAAAAGAACAGGGTTTTGGGGAGTAGCACAGCATTGTGATGGCATTAAGTGTACTACAGTAAACTCTGAGGGGATTTAAGGAAGTTGAGGACTGGGGTAATTTTTAAAGAGAAAACGAGTGAGATTACATCAATTGTTTGGAAGCAGTAATCCTTGGCTACTAGGATCGCTCATGAGGGTGGCAGGAGTCCAAGGCCGGATGGTGCAAGTTGCAGCACGGACTTCTTTGCAGAAGTTTTCTGCGCACGGTTGTGGTTCCAGGAGAGGCTTTCGTCGTTGTTCTTTTCCTCAAGTACTGGCATGTGGTCTCCTGGTTCATCGCCTCCAGGCTTTATTATTGTGGCTGGTTAAGGTTTGACACAAGCGGCTCCTGACAACTTTCACAGAAAACAGAAGAAAAGGGGTGTGTGCTTTAATCCATTTTAGGGGCTGTAGAAAAGGATCGGACTTCATACATTCAGCTGCGAACAGCAAACGAGCAGTGGGGCAGGTGCAGGCCGGCCCGGTGAAAGGAACTGGGCCCCACGCTAGCCCTGCCACCGACCTGGCACGAGGCTCCGGCCCTGTGCTCTGTGCATCCGCGGGCCTCGTGGCCACAGGCTCCGCAGTCAGGGGCACAGGTCCTCCTACCCCGTCAACCGCACAGCGGGAGGTACCGCGTTTTCAGGCCGGCGGTAACGGGGCGGTCCCCTCGCGCCCGGCCCGGCCCGGCCTAACCCGGCGTCGCGGGCGCTCGCCCAGTTCGGGGCGCGCGGGCGCGGTCGGCGGGAGGAAGACAAGGAAGTTGCCCAAAATGAGGAAGCGCCGCGCGCCTGCCGGCTGAGGCGACCCAAGGGCAAGGACACGCGGACGCCCGGACGCCCGAGCACCGCCGGAGCCGCCCGAGCCCGGACGAAGACGATCCTCCCCGGAACCGCCCTGCCTCACCTGGCGCAGGTAGGTGTGGCCGCACGTTCCCTCCCCGCGAAGCGCTCCGGAGGCCTTCGGGCAGGGCCCCGGCGAGGGGAAAGTGCCCACTGGGGAGAGGAATCTGGGCAGGGGAAGGTGTTCGTGGGCCTGCGGCCTTTGAAAATAGGAGGGAGTGGGATAAAACCACTGACTACAACAGGTTCTGGCAGCTTCCCACCGGAACCTAGGCGCGGGGCTCCCACTGCGGCGCCGGGACCCAGGGGCTCGGACCATGCGGTCCGGAAGTGCGGAGCGGCGCGCTCCTGGGGAGTCCGGGCTGGGACACCAGAGGAGGTCCTCAGGCCGCTTAGGCGAATCCGTGGGAAAGTGCTGCAGGCTGTGTGTGTGAGTGTGTGTGTGTGTGTGTGTGTGTGTGTGTGTGTGTGTGTGTCCAGAGGAATGAACCTTTCTGAACCCACTAATGTTGACGATTGTTCTGGTCGACCCATTCTCAGTATAAAGGAACCTAGCCAGTGCATGTGGAGGAACAAGGAAGTTTAAAGTAATAAAGTGTAAATTGGAATTAAATAATGGGGGGGGGTAGCATGGTCCCCAAACCTTGAATTCACCTAAAAACGATAAAATTGAATTTCATTAGTTTGAATGTTCAAGGAGTACAGTCATTGGAGAAGTGAAAGTTTGCATCTGTTGATGTTGGAAGCTGGCAGATTATGTTACCAACTTTGGCCGACTGACCAAAGATTGGGCTGAAGTACAGTAAAACTGTTGGCTTTCTCTTTTTTTTTCTCCTTTTTTTAAACCTTCAGAACATATTAGTATGTAGTAAAAACAAAACAAAAAAGTTGGAGGTTGTATGGTTTCTCTTATATGAGAAACCCACAATATAAATAAAGAGCAAAATAAAAGATAGGTATAGGAAGTAGGGAGATAGAGACCAAGAGATGGAAGGACAGGAGAGGGAGGAGAGATGGAGATGAAAGAATTAAGCTGTGTTGGATCAGGAATGTAGTTCAGCCATGTGGCGCCTGCCTGGCAAGCACAAGTCCCTGAGTTCAGTTCCTGGTACAAAAAAAAAAAAAAAAAGGAGAAGGGGAAGAAGAAGGAGCTCAGCTGTGTTGTGTACATGCACTGACTCCCCATGAAGAATGTAAACATGATGTATTGCAAATATGTACCAATAAAAAAATAAAAATCGAAAAAAGTTGAAGAGCCATATCTGAATCTTCATATTTCAAAAAAGAGTAACTATATAATGCCTGAGAATTCCTAGAATTGAATTGATTTCTATCATCTGATTACTTCATTGCCTTTACAAGCAACTCCTTAATTAAATACATTGACGTGTTCCTGTTCTCTAAAAGTCCAAATAGTGCATGGATATATTTGTATTTGAGCTAAAGGACTTGAATTCTTATAAAGTATTAGGTGTTTTAAGGGAGAAACATTGCCAGTTGAAATTATTTTGTCAAATGATTTTGTTCTATCCAAAGCATACTTTTGTATTAATGTATTTAGAGACGTGTTTTCAATAAACAACTTGACTTGTATTCTCTGTGTTTGAAGTGCCTTATTGAATTTTTTACATAGTGTTAGTGTTTTTTAGTGTACTTTAGGATGCAAATGGGGTATATGCTTTAGGTCTTTATCATTTACCTAAGAGATGCAGTTGGTAGAAAGATTATTTTATTACCAGGTTTACATTTCAGAAATGGTTCTCATAGGTCTTCTTTGGGCTTATTCTTAATGTTGGTGTAACCTCTCTGCTTGTTAAACCAAAGGTTTCCTAGTAGAATTTCACTTATACAACTTAATACATGTCTGTAGTTATTCAACAGCCTCATGCCAAGATGTGTTTTGGAATTCAGGATTTTTCAGAACATAGAATTTAAAATTAGAATCTAAATATCAGAATATAGAAAGGCATTCATATGTAGTGACTGCTGGTTACAACTACCTAAATACAGTCTGATAGCATCCTTTCATCCCACACATTAATATTTCTGTACTTTTATATTGGACACTATGAATATTCTCATTACACAGAGTTAATAAAGACTAGCGATGTGTCAGATTAGGGCAGGTGTTGTCACTGAATAAAATTCCCTAAAATTCATAAAACAATTTTTAAAAACTTGCTTTTCAGAGCTGAGGCTGAGGACTTGAGTTTGTGGTATTTGACCCCTGATGTGTGTTTATATAGCCCCATATTTCACTTTCTGGTAATTGGATGGACAGTTCCCTTCTGTTCATACCCTTTGAAATAGCAAGATATCACTATTAAATCCATCAAAATATGGATCCATCAAGTAAGTGAACTGTTTCATCCTTTAGTGATATAATTTCAAACAGCAGTTTCCCAGTTTCAGTCATATGATTTGAGAGAAAGAGCAGAAATTACCCAGGAACTGGTTATTGTCACCCTTTAGAGCTGCAAAATATTCTTAAGAGAAAGAGTTTCCTGTTCACTTTGCAGCTGGCTCTATCTACTTCTGTTATCTCTACCTGAGGAATGGCAGGGCAGTCTTTGTCATCTGAGGTAATTGCTGCTTTCTCAACTTTCAATGAATAGATTTTTTTCTTCCCAACTGCTCCCTCCCCCAACTCACCTCTCCTACCCTTGTTTTGCAGGTTTTAACATACATTTTCCTCCACTTCTGCATTGGTTTATCTGTTACTGGATAGAGATAAATGAGAATTTAGAGGTTTGAGGACTTATTAAAAAATGTCTACACACTGAGTAGGTTTTTTTTTCTTCCTTCTAGAAAGCAATTAAAGTCAAAAGGCAGAGTTCAAAAAAGATAACAAGAGATTACAATTAAATTGCCCAACTTGATTGTGTCTTAACACTTTACTCTTCTACCTTGAGTTTGAACAGGTTTCATTTGAATACTATGGAAAGAAGTTTTTCTACTGAAAAACTGGTAAGATTATGAAAAGAACTAGACTGGGTGGATTGTGGGAACATTCGTATATTTTTATGGCATGTTTGTTTGTACCCATTGGATTTTTTCTTTATGAATCAAATACATTTCACTCTGTCTCTCTTGAAAGGTAGTCAAATTGGAATCTTAAATATAAATTTAGCCAATTCCATAGATACTCAAAAAAGAATATTTTTTATTTATATTACATTTGGTTTAATAAATCTAAAAGTGGCTCTCTCTTTATTCTATTTCTTGGAAACCACATATTTATTTCTGAGGGCCAGCCCAAAGGCACATGGTAGGAGGAGAAAGTAGACAGTTAAAAATGCTGGTAAAGACAGCATTACCACAGAGGGGCAAGTACTCTGAGCTTTGTGAGGGGTGCTATCTCAGGAGGAACAAAGGTACTTCCCCCAACTCTCAGTGTAAACCAAGCAGGTAGTATATCTGCAAGGAGAGGCTGGCCTGGTGTTCAGGTGAGTAATGCCCGAGTATTGGACCTGGGTATTGTTAATGAGGCGAGAAACGGCCCAAGGTAGAGATTTAGGGAAATACATAATTTAAATACCAATGAATTTAAATACTGATCTGTACCCAGCCCAATCTTTGAATATTTGATTAATATAAAAATATTTGGTACAAATTCCCAATGATGAATGTCATCATATTGTATACCTAAAATGTACCAATAAACTTAATGAAAAAAAATATTTGAGTGCTCAACATGTGCCTCATGATTTTCTTACTCCATTGATTAATCTTCACCAATAAATCTTTTACACCCAGCGAGAAAGAACCAACCAGAGACCGATATTAAATCTACACAGGAGTTTATTACTGGACAGGACCCGAGCATCAGACTCAAGCCCCGACTGGGGGTTGACAAACATGTTTTATACACCTTTGAGGCCAACAGTTTCTAGGCCCCCCCTATGGGATAGAACTAGTAAAGCAAGCAAAAGGTACAGAATCGGAAAGTCCTGCTGTTAGAACATTTGTAAAACAATAGTTGATTAATTGTTGTTTCTCAGAGACTCTCTAAGGGGAGGAGGTTTTTAAGCTTCCTCCTGAGTTCATCTAAAGGGCAGGCAGGTGGTTCCTTCCACAGCAGTGTGGAGTCTGTCTTGCTAACTAGGGTCCTTCAAATCCTCATTCTGTCTTGGTGAGTACGGCGGTTCCTTTTTAGTTGCCATGGAAATATTTTGGTGAGATCTGAATTAATTTGTCCTTTTATTTGATCTTAATTTGTAACAGCTACCTCTAGGCTTTCCCTCTTCCTCTAAAGTAAGCCTTACATCTTTTGAGCTATTTCTTCTAGAATTAGGCTCATTTCCTTAAACTAGGTATAGTTCCAAAATGTTTTGAGGCAGCAATTTCAGGCAGTATCTGTGACTTCCTAGTCTGGGAGCTGAGGCATCGGTAGTTCTGGACCACCTGCCATGCACACCATCCCAGGATAATTACTCTCAACTGGAGATTGCTAAGGTTTTCGGGATTACTTTGTTGTGACTGTGGATGTATCGTTTAGTGGCCCCTTGGTCTCAACATGCCCCAGTCGCCACACCAGGCTGGAAGCCCACTGTTCCCTGTACCTGTGTTCAGTGCCCAGCATTCCAGGATGGCAGCAAGGGGTATCAACCTCTCAGACCGGAGAGCGAGGACCCTGGAAATATGCTGTGATCTGAATGTGATTGGGTGTGCCTACTGCTTGTGCTGGGAGCCTGATCCCTAGTGCTGTGGTGTTGAGAGGCGGAACCACTGGGAAGTGATTAGGCATGGGGCATGCATGCTCCTAAGAAAGGCTTAATGTAGTGCCTTGCAGCTCTTTTCTGTTCCTGCATGAGTGTGCCCGAAATAACCCGTATTTCTGGCTTCCAATGTGATCTACCCACCTTGCATGGGCTCCTACATGATGCTGTCAATCATGTGATGTAGCCCTCACCATAGGGAACTCCCCCATCCTGGACTTCCAGCCTCAACTATTGTCATCACAATAAACCTATTTTCTCTGTGAAGTACCAACTTCCAGGTATTTTGTTATAACAACAGCCAACAGACATACACGGCATATACTGTGTTAACTTACTTTTTATTGTACCCCTC